ATATCCCTACTCAAAACAAGACTCAGTAACTGAGCAAAGGAAACGGTACAGGTAGTAGAGGTGCACATATGTGAAGGGCAGGACACTGGCCAGGGAGGAGATACAAGCTGCAATTGAAACAGAAAACACAATGACAGGGATCTAGTGAGATAATTGTTAGACAAAACTTTTGGCTTAAAAGTAGTAAAAAACCAAATCTTTGGAACTTTGAGCAAATAAAATTTGCTCAAATAAAAATATCCAGCTGGTTTCAGGAAGGTAAGACTTCCACTGTCCTTCTGGCTACTCACAAACCATGTTACATCATAGAAATGACTGATTTGATAATGAAATTCTTTTCCTAACAGAGCTTGCAGAAATCCACAGTGTGATTAACTACACTGTATGTGCATATAAATGAGTACCAGCACACATATAAATACCTGTTTTAATTTTAGATGTCACGTTTCTATTATAGAAAGGTGACAGAGCTGATGAAAGTTCTGTGAAGGCAAAGGATTCGGTGGCCATAATCCATGACATTTTACACTGTGTCATTTCCAGAGGCAGTGCAGTGCTAACTACTGAAAAATGCTGGAGGTTCATGCAGCAAGAGGCACTTCACTTGGTGGGATAGATTTCATTCAGACCAGCATTTCCATGTGTACAGTAACATGATCTACCAACATTTTCTAGGGTCAGTTCTGTGACGATATTTTCTCTCAGGTCTGCCAAGTGAACTTCATGGCTCTAGTACATTTGAAATCTCTTGCATCTCAAATATATGGTTTTGCAACATAGCCTGCTGTACATAAGCATTTAAAATTGGGAAACTGCTTCACATCTTTCTAGAACAATATTTATTGAAATTATCAATATAACTGCTGTGCCCCTGAAATAACAACTGCATCCAGTTTTCTTTTCACTGCAGTTAAAATTGCAGCCATATCACATTATACGTCTGAACAACTGTTTCACAAATTATGACTCCTTTAACCATTATGTGAGAAGCAACTGCAAGTAAACTACTAATCTCCTAATTTGAAGGGGGGTTCCATGATTTTTGTTGAAATACTTAGCATTTGTTCCACTTTCTTTCTTGGAAGAGAGAGGAAGCTTTGGTTCTTCAATAACCTCTTATCCATACCAAGTTTCAAGAGAGGACAGCCCAAGGCACCAAAGTTATTAGACTTCTATTTACTTTAGGGAGTACAAAAAGCAGCTTTCCTCTGCTTCTCCTTTCTACACTGAACCATAGAATGCCTTGAAGAGATTCCTTGAAAAGAGGAATAAGCCACAGAACCTCAGTCACTCTATGCAGTTTCTTGAGGAATTACTCAAGCTACTGTTTTCTAGCATATGCATGCAGTTTATTCGTGTGAAAGGGGCTGAAGTACCCTTAGATTGAACTAGAGGGCAGAACTTGTCTGTTTAGTTTGCTGCTGCTCAGTAAATAAGGTTGTGAGAGCAAAGCATATTCTCCCCCCTCCCGTTTTTCTAAGAAAACACAGTTCTTTGATAAGCACATTCCACCACTTGATTCTGTTGTTGGCAGCACCTGTGAATGTTGCTTACACTCTACTGCCTTTGAAAAGTTTGCTGAGTATAATCTTGCCTTGATGGTAGGACAGTAAAAGGTTATACAAGTAGGGTTTGATTTGAGTGTCTCATTCAGAGGATTTAATAAATTCATAGTGAGTTTTATGCTGAATCTGATTCAAGCTTAAAGTTGTGGTTAAAAAAACAACATTGGATTTGGACACATGGACGTCATTTACTCTTCCATCACAAGTGAAAAAAAGTGAAGTCAGACTTTGGTGGAAAGGAGTAATTTTAAATTCTCAGCCAAGCTTTCTTCCTAATCCTTACCCTTTCATCTCCCCTTGGCCACTCCAATTATCGACAGATAACAAGTCCTCAGCAGAGGAGAGCACAAGTAGCTTGCTTGCAATGACCAGGATACCTGAATTAACACAACTAAACTGAACTTTCAACTGACTTCTGCTGGCATAGCTCTGGAAGCAGTTTGGCTGTGTATCTGTAATGAGCCTACAGACTTCAAAATCTATTTATGGGATGGAAACATTTTCTCAACTTCATGAAAGAGAATTGAGCAAGGCTCCCTTTGGAGTTTCTGTATTAGAAGAGGAGCTAATTCCTGAGCTTTGACAGCTCCCTTCACTGATCCTGGAAAGCACATCTGTTCTGGCAAATCCCAACCATGTCCATCCAAGGAAGACAAGAATGCCAAGAATCTAGTTACCATCCAACACTAGGAATCTCTCACGTGTCACTGTAGACTATTACAATTTTGTTCCTAGAATTTCATAGCAGTTGCTCCTAACACCTCTGCGCAGAAAGATGAGTCTCACTGTGACTCAGACAGCTTCACCTAGAATTTCTTTAGCCAGTCATAAATGAGCAGAGAGCTAAATCCAAGCTCACCACTCAATCCAAAACAGTTTAAGATTTTTAGCTTCAATACACGGTATTGCAAGGAGATTCAGTATGCAATTTTCTAGCAAAACAAATTCTTAGCTGCAAAATTCCAATTTCTCTAAAAGGAAGGAGGTTTCAGATCCGATAAATTTAGGAAGAACAGAAGCGTATAGCACACAAATCTGGACTGTCTATATGGCTTTGTCTAACAAGTCATGGCATGTTTAGTTCCAGCCAGGTTGCACCATTTTATCTTTCAAAAGCAATGTAATTAACATAAAGGAACATAAAAGAGCTGCAGCAAAGTAAAGGCACCCTATAACATCAAGATTTCTTGATTTTAGGAGGGACCTGGGTAATTCATTAGACAAAACTTGCTTGGAAATTCTAGTCACAGGAGTGGCTCACTCCTTTTGAAGGAGACTTTTTTCAAAGTTGGTGATTGCAAATTATTTCAGTGAACAAAGATGTCAATTCAGCTCACCTAGCTGACCTACTAGACATCCTGATGCATTACAGACTTGTAAGCATCATCCCTCAGAAGTTGGGAAAGATATGGAAAAATACCAATAAACTGCTGATGCTAGCACAGTTTAAGTAGTGCCAGAGCATGTATTTCACTGACCTTCATCTCCTGAACCTCTGCCAGGCAGGGAGGGTGAAAATGGAATGGCTTTGAACTCCACCGTGAGTAGGTTCAGTGATTTATCTCTCCATAGACTAAGAACTTGGTTCTTACATTTACAAAAATTATTTTGCCTGGTTAGTAGACACCTTGCATTCCTTCCTAAGGTGGGAGGGAACAGAGGGAGAATTTGGGATGTAGCATGTAGGGGAGGGAGATCAAGCTGGTGCTTATTACTTCCTCATTCCTTCCTATGTATTAGTCCTACTATTGGTACTAATATGATTCCTTAAAAAGCCAGTTCTACTCAGTGAGTCAACAGAGAACTCACCCAGCAAAACACAGTTTTCTGCTAGCTTAGTGAGCTGAATTCATCACTGAACTGTCAGAAGAGCACCAGAGCTGGAGCAAGGGAGGCAGTGGAGTTAGGAGGTCACATAAGGAGGACAGGGAAACAGAATCACCCCTTTTGGCTGCACCAATGAATTAGATCAGGTCAACCTGTCACATCTGATTGAAACCTTCCAGAAAAACTGTGGTAAAACTGCAAATAAGCATTTAATAGAAACTGTAGTAGCTGTGAATTTGAAATGTGACAGAAAGACATTTGAAACTGAAAAATTACCCTTGAAGGCTTCAGTTTAGCAATCCTGAAAAACACCCAGCTGTGAATTTCAGTGGGAGTGTCAGGTGACACAGGTAAGGAAAGAACAAACACAGCTGGCCTGTTACACCGGTTCTCTGAAGCCACAAGTCATCCATTCTGAATCCCAGCTCTCTGCCATTCACCAGTAATTAAGTAAGAGTTGCTTCGTGGTATGATTGCTGTCACACAGCTAGCTAGAATGCTGCATGCTGTCTTGTACCATTACAGTGTAATCTCCTATCAAATCATAATAAAATAGAAAACTGAAGAGAAAAGAGAGGAGACTGTCTGCACAGAAAATGCTGCAGCCTGGAGCACCCTGTGGTTAGCAGCATGAGGAGTGTTGGGCTTTCCCATGCTCCCTGTCTTGCACGGTGAGCCTGAATCCCAATTTAATGCAAATTTCCAGTTACTTGTTGCCCGCTGGTGACATCTCGTGGATCAAAGCAAGATATCCTTGCCTGTTGGCAAACCCCGCAAAGTCTTGGATATTGGCACCTGCAGAGTGGAAGTCTCTTTCCCAGGTCTAAGGAGCTCTATAGGATCTGACAAGGTTTAGCTTTTCTTTATTTTTAACTTCCTTTCCTGCTCTATGAATAGAGCAAATGAGCACTGTAGCAACAAGCCCCTTACAAAGAACTGAAAATAGAAGTAGGCAGGAAAAAAGGTAAATGAGAGAACAGAGCACAGAAACTGAGAAAAGAGTAGTGAATAAATTTCATTAACTGTATTTCCTGTTAATGAAACAGATTTCTATTGTCTAAAGCTGAGTATAAGCAAGTGCTGACCAATTAGGACTTGGTAGTTGAAGTCAAGGGAACCTATGCACTGCTTGACACAGTGGCAGAAACAGGCAAATAATCAGTACCACATAGTCATAGTTCCTTGCACCCTACAAATATGAAGGAACTAACCCTCCCAGTGTGCCTGTGCGTCATTCACTGGGGCTGGAGCTCAGATTCAAGCTGTGACAGTAACAAATGTTAGTAATACTTTGCTAAAAATATTACATTTTTATGTAATTATTTATTTATTTTGGATGGTTAATTTTGGAGCTTCTGTTTCAAAATACTGAGGTGTTTGTTATATAAGTTAAATTCACAGCAGTCTAAAGAGTTCAAGTCAAGGTATCAAAAAAAAACCCCCAAAATCAATGGTGCAAATAGAGACCTACATTGTTTACCCTCTACTGAGGCCAGTATACTTTGTCAAAATTGTTCACCTACCAGCTGGAAACTGCCCATTACCGGGAGGGATAAGGCAGAAATTGGCATTTTCTTTACCACAGTCTACAAAACACAGGGTTTCATGTTATATGCCTACAAGATTTATTTGACATTTTAATCTATAAATACATGAGGTTTTCACCAGTAAAAGCACAGTAATTTTCTCAGTGGTCATTGCCACTGCTTACATATTGAACAAAAGAACATGTGGTATTGCATATGATTAAGCAAACTTTGGTTCTCTTTCTAAGGACTAAGCTCTCTTACTTGTTAAACAATGGCTTGCAGAGGACAACAAGGCAGCTGAAGGCCACACTGAATGCTACACTCTGGAAAGCTTGGGACACTGTAGAACTTAATTAGTTTTTTGAAGGCACTTTTTTTGAACATCATCATGTCTTCAGGCAGGCTAGAAAGAACCCTGGCATTTGCACGAGACTCCTCCTTGTCAGTGGCTGCAGCTTTGGGGTTACACTGCTCAAGACTACCAGTCACTGGCACACTGGTGCAGCTAAGGGAACGTGCTGTCTTTTTCTTGCCTTGAACAGATAAATAACTGAATAAAAAAGAGGTTAACTTATGTCTGGTAACATCTTGGACATCTTCTGGAAAACAGTCATCTAGAGGATCCCCTTGACCTTTCACTTGTTGACTAATCACACGTGTACTGGGACTCACCGATAACTTCTTAGGCTGAACTACTGTTTTTCTGGAAGGTGGTTTAGATTTCCCTCCATCTAGATAAAGCTGGGAAGCATTACTAATGGCATCAGAACTGGGCTCTACTGCCATAGCAGGGATTCTTGCCCCATCATCAGAACTGATGCAGTGCAGCCCATAATTCTGGCTAACAATTTGGGCTGCAGTGTGTTGGATGATGTTCCAGTCTCGCAGAATGTCTTCCCTGGTTGTGAACTGAGACGTTACAGTAAAGCGAATGATGAACTTGTCATGAATGGTTGCTGGAATGAGGAAGAGCCTGCCAGAACTGCTTAGTTCTTTCAGGAGTTTTTCTGTCAGCCAGTTGGGACCCTGTTTTAAATGTGAATAAGAAAAAGAAATACTACAGTTAGAATTTCCAATGACATCCAAACATCTCTAAGAATTGCGATCACAAATTCTTACATGAAAGTTTATTCACAGTTCTTAACATCTGGGGAGAGATCAGCTGTGGTCAATTCATTCCAAAGAGACATACAAAAGATCTAATCATTACCTTTAGCCGAAATACAACCAGTCCAAGATGCCTCTTTGCAGGAATTTCAAAAAGCGGATCACTTTTAACCAAGGACTCAAAGAATTTGGCTGTTTCAGTACCCTATAATTAAGAAAAACTTAATTAACCTATAACCCTAGTTATATATTGGTTTGTCACAAACCCACTGTAAACCACTATATTAGATAGTTAAAAAGACTTTCTTTCCTTACTAAAACACATCATTTCAATGCATGGATAGCAGAAAACAGAAGAATGACAACAAAGTTAAGAATTTTAAAGTCTGTCTATTTGCCCAAACACTTGACAATGAACATGAGTAATTGGACTATACATAGGGATTTTCCAGAAGAACATTTGAAAACAATGCGCCTTCTCAGATTGGAGTCCTTTTGCGGCAACCATTGATCCACAATACGATCCTTGTACTTACTCTCCATCAGAGACTTAAGCCTGTACATTTTCACAGTGGTGGGTTCAGCCTTTCATCGCAGCCTGCCTCTCAAACAGCTGCCTCAAAGAAAGCTCCTACAGATCAGTACTCAGCAACAGGCAGAAGGCTGTGACTTACCAACTCGCCTGCTATTGCCTATTGCTTCCAAGAAGGGGACAGGAAACGTTTTGTCTACGCAGTTAATCTTTACAGATTACTTAAGAGCACACGTTTAGTGTTCACATGCAAGCTTTGCATGTCAGAGGATTTCTGTTACTCATCTTTGAACCTTTGAACTTATTAATCTCAGCTACCAAGAAATGAACATAACACATGTATGGTTGCTCTGTTAATTCACATACATGTCGGACGTGAGCTTGAAGCTTTTTCACCCCAAACGAGCGAAGCACAAACCACAGCTTCAAAGACCGGAATCGGCGACTCAGTGGAATCTGCCAGTGCTGTGAAAACACAACAGTGCCTCGATGAGTGCAGAAACAACAGAAAGGAGGGTTCCCCTTACACTGCTACACCTATTGCTTCAGGCTCAGGCCAGAAATCTCTTTTGAGACAAATAGTGTCATATTACTGAATATCTGCTAAGCCTAGGAAACAGCCATCAAAGAAACACTGTGTCTCCATATTTTTCAATTATTTGCAAAAATAAGATTTTGGCTATTCCCCTTAATCTATGGCCTAGACATGATTAGAATTTTAAGTTAATTATCAGTCAATAACAACAACTTTTTGCATTTTAAGAGCATGATCAATTTAAGATGTGGCCATTTACACTTCAGCACTGAGTGCTCACTTCAGTTCCTGTAATTTGCATATTTAAGTGCCATCCTGAACAAGAGTTGATACAGGGGTAGGCAGTTCCAGACAAAGTAGCACCTACTGCAAGCGAAAGAGTGAGAAAACATATAAAGGAGTATTTCTAGGGAGCTACACAATCACATGCAGGATCCGATTTAACCACAAGAGGGACTCAATATCTTTTTTTTTCCATCCCTCCCCTCCACTTGCACTCTAGTGAAAAGCACTATTGATTTCAAGAAAACAATTATCTTTTCAGGACTAGGGTGAGATCATAGCAGAAATAATTGGCAGTGAATATTCCTTTGTATTACTGTACTGAAATCTGCTGTAAGAGGTATCTAAAGTGAAATGCCTCTTGGCTCTCCTATGAATACCTTAATCTGAAGCAAAATGTAATTCAGTCTCCTGCTGTTTCAGAGCATCGTGTTTCCATTGCTTACTCCTTTCTCTCTTTTATTACATGTCAGAGATACAAGAAATTCAGCCAAAATGGCATCAGTAGGAATTACTTCAGCAACACAATGCACAGAAATGACCCTTCTCATTAAAAAGGCAAGGCTGGATCTCTATCTGTGTAAAAATCTTAAGTACTTCAATCTGAAAGCAATTTTATAATCAATCTTCATAACCACAGATCGCTGCAAAGTTTTATTATTTACTTTGTATTAGGATCTAAGTATAATTGGATTTATGTAATCAGATCATCTGTAAGATAAGCATGCTCCAGAGTGTGAGGAATTTCACAGTCTGTTTGAACATTTTATATGCAATATAAAATATCAACTTAAATAATAACTTACCATGAAGTCAATTGCAGCTCCTGAGTTGGCATGTCTGAGGTAGACAGGGTTAACACTGAAGGTTTGATGTAATTTGTATTTATCCTTAACCCTATCAATTGTAGAAGGAACTGGGTTTAGCAAAATAAGTGCAGAGAAATACTTTGCAATTTGCATGTTATTCTTGTGGTGTTGTTTGCATTTTGCCTTTACTCACCAAAATCCAGTGCAGTCAAAATGAACCATCATCCATTTAGAAGGGTTAAAAGTAAAGGAATCTGCATATTCAATTCCATCCAAGAACAGCCTAAATTCAGGACATACAAATGCTGTTCCTGCATATGCAGCATCAATATGAAGCCAGAGTCCCTCAGCATCACCTGATGGAATTGAGATTGTTGTTATGTAAGGGACATAAGGAATCAAAGTGCATGCTTAATCTCTCCTCTCTGAAAAAAACAGGTGCATTTTTTTGGAGGAGGCAGACAAACAATTGACAATCTAGTTTTATTCTAAAGCTGTGGATCCATAACCCCAAAATACAGGATAATGCTGAAATCGGGTGGACACTACAACAAAATTCACTATTTCACATTTGATGTGAGTGGGACTTCTTAATGATTGACTTCTCTCCCCTGCCCTTTTACTACATGAAATTCCCCAGTACCACTCAGTTGCACAAAGCCAGAACAAAGACAGCGGGGCAAGCAAAAAGGACCCAGAAACAGAAGCCACAATCTGACCCATATGAGAAAGCACCTCAGGTCTTCCAAAGCTTTGGGCAGAATTGATGCTGGAATAGAATCTGCAATCATGACAAATTCACCTACGAAACTGGTGGATCCAAAGGATGTCCTACTAGAATCTACTTTCAAAACTCCTTTGTTAGCTTAAATGTTTATGTATCCATCCCATAACAGTATTGCACAGTCTGTATTTCCTGAATAACCACATTAAAGATTTATCAGTTGGCAAATTTCATCCATCTTGAATAGAATGTATTTTAGCATCCTAATCTAAAACTCACAGAAATCACTGCAAAGTCCTGTACTGACTTCAGCGATCCCTAAGATATGTCTGAAAAACTCAGCTGATCAGTGTTTCTACTCTCCTTGTTTTTGGCATGCAAAAGTCTCCCTACTTTTATATGCTTTCATAGTTTAAAATCAGGAAAAAAAAAGACACTTACAAATTGGACCCAGTTCTGAGAGACTGTCAAAAGCACAGACACCAGTTGTACCCAATGTTGCACAAACCTAGAAGAAACGAAATCTGTTAAGATGGATTGGGGTTTTCTAATAAATGGATGCAGCACTTTAAAAGTGGGCAGGTTAGGTAGACAGTCAAAACATTCAAAATTTACATTCAGTAAAACAGACACTCTTCTATACATTTTAACATTCAGTAGATGTATTTTAACACAATAAGAAATGTTTCAGATGTAATTTTATCTTGACATTAAGAATACAACACTATGCCAATACCCTCAGCCAGAAAGTTGAACATACAAAGACTGGCACGAGGCCTTTCTTTCTGTCTTCTGCAATGGCTTTCTTCAAAGTTTCACCTCTGAGGGAAAAGTTCTCATCCACAGGCAGAAATTTTATCTTCACAAGGGAAATTAAGCCAGCCTTTTCTACAGAAGAATGTGCCTTTAAAATAAGAAAAACAGTAAGAACTCAAGCTCTGAGGCTGAACAGCTGTGGTAAGTTATGGCCTTATGAAAAGACAGTGGTGGCAAGAAATGCAGAGGTAATGTCCTTATTGTAATCCATATTATACAAGTCTGAAAGTGACTTCTTTCTAAGTATCTATCAGAAATAGTACACTGTAATTCCAAGGAATGCTTAATTTATTTGGGTACTTGTCTCTAAAACAAATATAGTGATAGGCATCCTCATCTTGTGTTTGAAGGGCCATTTATCAAAACTCAGTGCCTAAAGGAGCCTCTAGAAATAGATCCTCCCCAGTTTATTCCCTCCTCCCTGCCATAAGAAGATAAATCCCCCAAAGTGTGCTTACTTCTGGGTAGACCAAAACACCTCATAAGAAAAAGTCCTTTTAGTCTCTCCTGTTGCAGTTTTCACATGCAAATACAATTGTTTAGTTCAGGAGCCCAGGGACAGAACAGGTTTGCAGGCAGAGGCCCAGAGTGGAGCCCACAGCCAGGAGCAGCACTGAGGTAACAGCACCTTGACCGTGCCTGTTCTGAGTGGAAGGAGGCTGTGAACAAACAAGAGCTGGAGCAGCATGAGATCAGCACCTAGTTACTGGGGTAAGGCTTTGTGAAAAACAGGAAGGAAGTTTTAGAAATGAGTCATGTGGAACAGCCTCCTGAGGACTGCCAGGACCCCACAAAACCTCGCCTAACACTGATTTCGTTTCCTCATCTGCAGAAAGCGCTATTAGAGGAACCGGTTCATGCTTGTGAGGCATTCCTGTGTTTGCCTTTTGGTAGAGAAATGAGAGTTCACATTGCATAGTCTGAGTGAGACAGCAGGAGCACATTTGTTTTCTTTGTAATCATAAGAACCTACTTGATCAGATGCATAAGCGATGAGGCGAGAATTGAGCGAGGACTCATCGGCGTTTGGCTCGGAAACCTTCATCTCCAGAATTTTGTTCTTCCTTGCTGCTAGCAGTGCAACCAAGGTGGATTCACTCACAGTGCTCTGCAAAGACATTGCTCATTTACTGCAACTGCTACTTCGTTGCTATCCTGCCAGGGATTCACTGAAGTCAGTACTCAGCTGCCCACCCCCTCTTTTATTCCTACTACCCCTTTTCTGTGATGCAGTGGAAAGTCATTAGCTGATGAGCAGCTCTCTGGGCCAGCAACACAAAACGAAGCCTTTTAACTGCTGTATATTTTTTATGTGCAGGACTGAGTTGGGGGGAGTAAATAAATCATATTTTCCTTTTGTTCTACAGATAAAATGTACTATTTCCCATAAAATTACAAATGTAAGTAAAACCCCCTATAACAACACAGAACTTCAACACTGATTCCATGGGATACTTGCTTAAGCCTTCCAAAAGGAGGCAAGGTTCAGGCCTTGATCTTGCACCCCTCAGAGACACAAAGTAGATATGACAAAAAGGAAAAATATTTTTTTGTGTGGCTAAGGACTGTGGCAGAAGGACAGTGATAAGGATTCCTTCTCTAATTATGTAAGAATCACTTTAGTATATAATTTGGTGATGTGAAACAGACTGAAGAAATGAAATTTGACTCTCATTTATCCTTAGAAAGGCCACAAGAGTAGCTGCTGCTCGTCCCTAACACAGTTAGCACTAAAAGCAATAGCAATTCTTATTCTGTAATCTTCTATGTTATACTAAAATTTGGGAAAATAATGCCAAATTGGGATTTGTCTCTATTTAGACCCATACAGAGAATCTTGTTGGTTTTGCCTCTAGGAAAACTATCACCCAGAGGGAAAATTCACCTGAGTGAAAACAAAACGATGAGACCTCTAATGTCCCCTACCTGTAATACTCCTCCACCCACACTGTCAGGATGGTAGTGCAGGAATTTCTCTGGAAGTCCCAGCATTTTGGCCAACCAATCCATCACATTCATTTCCAGTTCTGTACAGGCTGGGCTGGAGGCCTAGAAAAATATTTAAAAAAAGAGAATCAGACTGTAATTCACCCTGGGCACTGATCCCTCTGCCAGCTGAGGGCTAAGGGAGGCAATGAGCTGATCTGATACAACTACATGGAGACAATACCCATCAGTTTCTTATAGGTTTATGAGCTTCTACTGCTTTCTTACACAGAGACACACACCTAAAAATCTCGGCAACTTCACCACTGGGGAGAACATTGGCTTCAGAAGGCTACTGAGGTAAGCAGAGTTATAACAAAGTAGCGCTGTGTAGCTGCTGCAGGAGGACACAAAATACTCAAGTATTTTGGGCCAGGCCACCAAACAATTATTTTCAGAAGAGGAAAAATAGGAAATGTGTTCTCTCAAAGGAGCAGGAGAACTGGACTGGAGCCCAATCTAGCCTGTAGTAATGGATGGTGGTTGCTTTATTGCCTGCAGTGCTTGTGTAACAATCTTGGCACTGAGATTGGATGATAGGGAACAATGCTCACAGTGGGATATGCAAAAAATTAGAAAACAGACATTTCTAGTGGTATATTTTCTTCATTCACCTCTTACTAATAAGTAACCTTTTGAGTTTTTTTTTTTAAGTGAATTTTTCACTTATGCAAACAACATACAGTTGGTTAAAGCAAATAATTAGACTGACTCAGAGAACAAGAAAGAATGACTATGACCTGCTCTTGCATATTACGCACAGGAAATGAATATCTAAAATAGCCAAAAAAAAAAATTACCCATGTGAATCCCAAGCAGTTAATTGCATCAGCCAACATATCTCCAAGGAGTGAAGGCCAGGAAGTAAGAGCTGGAAAGTAGGCATGCATGTGAGGACTTTGCCAATGGACTACCTAGAACAGAATTATATAGAACTTAAATCTGGAAATGTGACAAAATTCTGCATGAGATGTAACAATTATCATTAGATCTTTAAAGTGATGGAAAAGGATCACAGTAACATAATATGTGCAACTGTACATCTGCTAGCAGAAAGCTGCAGAGATAGTATCAATAGGAGTGCAGCACTAACACTCTGTCATTGTTAGATAAATTCCAAACAACAGCAAAAGCATTTATCTGAATTAAACAGGCAGACGAAGATTCTGAACAGGAAAGAATGTTGTGCCATGTTCAAAAGACCAGAGTCAGAAAGATTTATCAAAATGTTTATCTTTATAAAGGGAATTCATGCAACAAAGTTGCTCTTGCTCATTTTGTCAAACAAAATAAGTAGCTACACATAGCAATCTACAACTATATAAACCCCTCTATACACCTGAAGGAGTTTCTATGTGGGACATCAGCATAAGCATGTGTAATGTGAATACCTCTCCTACATCAGATCAAGTTTCTGCAAACATCTATAAAAAAATTTGAGAATAGACTCTGAAAGGACTTCTTACATAAAACATGTAATTCGATAATATGAACTCCCTTAGCAGAATCTGCAGTACTTATGTATAAGAGAAACAAGACCTTTACATTCAAAGAACAGGAGACAGGTCTTACATGTACACAACTGCTGTGCCCAAGTTTCCACATCTCTGAAATAGATATTATACAGGTCAGCAGGTAGAGACATTGTGAAGCTAATGATTTTCTTACACTGGTGAATTTGTTTCCCTATAAGCAAATATGACTTAATGTATAACACATGTCAAAAATACATTCAGTCTAGCCCCTAAAACTATAGGTAGAAACACAACAGTAATCCCTGGCATCCTTCTGTGGACATGTCTACAAGACTTATTCTACGTTTTTGGGTACTTTACTCATTTAAATAAATGTTCTGCAGAACCTGTGCATTCCCAGGATTTGGTGTTCACCCCAGACAATAAGGGCTTTTTCCTGTCATGATTAAACTTTATTGCTTACCCCTGGCATAATAATCTTCTCTATATCTCCAAAGATGTTGTCCCAGCTGTCAGGATCCATTGGGGCAGAATCCGGCAACTGGGCTCTCATGTAACCTGGCTGCACATCAGGAGTCACCCGTCTCTCTCTCACATTGCTCAGGTACTGGCAAATGTAATCCACCATCTCTTTCCCTGGAAGAGGCAAACCAGTGTTTTGAGTTTCAATTATGTGAAAACTACCTAGCAGTACCAGCACTGCACACAATCTGTCATTAGCATTGGAATACTGCTCCCAGCACAGCCAGTGGAACTGACCTCCCTCCTACACCCTACTGGTCCCATCTAATAACATAGGGACACAGCTTCCAGAACAGGCTTCATGGGGACAGAACAGACTCACAGGGTTATTTCAATAGTTCAAATGTACCTTTAAAACACAGTAAGGGTACAAGTACAGTTTGTTTGATTACTGAGAGGTTAGACTTTCTTGCCTAAAAATTAACTGAAACTGCATTTCACAGGAATTAAATTTTTATAATACTCTACACTTCCTTGTCACTATAACATACCCCCTTTTGCATCCTCTGAAAACAGCTGCATAGCTCCACACCTCTTCTCCACTTTTTAAGGCAATCTCCTCTACCCCTGGAACTAAAGTTTGTTCCCCATCTCCAGAACTGTACAAGTATCGCAGTGTCAGCTGGGGAAAAGCCACCGTGCATAAACCCTTACCACAAGTTTATTCAGAATTACAGTTTTGCAGCTTTCCCACACTATCTTAAAAGTAAGACCAAAAAGGCTAAGTTACCCATGGACTCTAAATCCATTAATTTACACTCAGTCCTGGGACACATTTTTGTCTCAGCCTCAGCAGATCCAAGTCTCAAGGACATGTGTGCAAATAAAGAGTATATAGCCCATCCTAATTTTGGGGACCACTCCCAGCCCTACCATAGTTGATCTCCATGAGCAAGTGATACCTATTTGCAAGAGCACACTCACCTCTCTGTCTGTACTCCTCTGGCTCCATACTGATTCCTTACAGAAGCACCTCCAAACCTGGGCCACGACCCCTCGGGAGCTGTGGGCAGTTCCCTCTGGTGCCCTCCTGGCTGCTTCCCCCTTTATAGCTCCCTTTATCTCTCAGACTCACGCATTCTGGAAAAGGTTTAACGTAGGCAGGTTATTGGTGAGTGTTTATCTAACTCCTCCCAAGTGAGGGCTTTTACAATCTCTCATGTTCTCATCTGTGCCCTTTTGATGTGTAAGATAGTGTATCGCTAAGAGGAGCTGCCTCTGCACTAACCCTTTCCCACTTTCAGTCAATCTTTCAGAAGTCTCAGAGTAATCCACATGATGAATATAAGGCATATTATAAGGAGACTTGTGGGAGAGAAAAAGCTCAAGAACTTCCAAAACCAAATAAAAGCCAGCAGATGTTACACCAGCACACCCAACTACTGTGCTAGTCATTAAAAGGCACCAGCACAGAACAAATTTGACACTGCAGACAGGGAAGGAGGTTTTTTTAAGAATTGTTTTGAGAATTCCCAAAGCAATAAGAATATACGTACATCCCCACAAATCTTCAGTCTTTATGCTGTCAGTCCCACGCTGCTAAAAGGAAAGGCTTTACAGTTATTGTCATTCCAGAACTGCAATACAAAGCAGCAATGATCTTCTCAGTGGATTTCCTGCCTTTCCAGATCAGAGCAGGTTACACAAACCAGGGTGATGTTCCTCCATGGATATCACCCTAGATTGCTGAGCTGGGAAAATGCATATTTTTCCCCTCATTATGCTTGCTTTCCTCACATATGATACACATAAGAACTGGGATTTGGTCTTGTCTCTCCAGAATTCCTCCAAGTCCTCCACCTGGATTGTTCTGTTTGAAAGGACAGCTATGTAGATTCCCCCTTGTTCCAGTTTTAGGGCCTGAAAACACATCCTGACCTATCTCTGCCAGCACAACCTTTGACACTGTACTCACTGTTGAGCACTTACCATCTTCACTTGCTCTACACTGTACCAAGCAGCCCTGGGCAAAGAGAGAGGTAGGATTTGTGGACTAAGCACCAGGAAGAGAAACTACTACCAGTACAATATATTCTTGCCCTATTTTTGCTATACCTCAGGCTCCTGCTTAGGGCAGACCCTGCTGGAGACAGGACACCAGATCAGGCAGAGCCTTCATCTGATACACGACAGCAGTTTTTCTGTTCTCGTCACACAGAAGAGAACTGGCTGCCAGAGCAGCTTGAATTCTCTGCCTCGTGTACCCAAACACAGCCCAAACACTTTCATAGTTCTAGAAAGCTGTTACATTGTTCTCACAGCAAAATGTCTACAGAACAGTGTGAAACCCTTCCTAGTTCCTGTTGCAATTAGATATTTGAGAAGGAACTGTTTTCTAGATATGACAAAGATGCTCTGATACACACACATCAGATTAATGTACTGAAATAAAAAAATCCAAATTGATAAAAAGGCATTAAATAAGTGAAAAAAATACTATATGCATATTAATCTGTTTTCTCACATTTCTCTGGAAACATCAGGAGATAAGTAACAAGCTGCCCACACACTTCATATCAATTTACTAACTTCTCTTGGCTTTACTGTAAATGATCTCATAAAGGGGAACAAGGAAGGTGAGAAGGTGCATCAAGCACAGGATCAACTCAAGAAGAGCCCAAAGTTCCCCAGAACTGTGATTCTAGCTCATTACAAGTAACTAATACTTAATATATAGGGACATATGTTCAAAGAAACAGATGGTAGCTAACTACATTTTGGTTTTACTTTGGAACAGCAAATAAGGAACAATATTTTTAACAATGTTTTCAGACCTGAATTATACAATAAATATTTCATGTGACATATACCCTACACCTTGCTCAAAGGTGAGTTTCATCAGCTTGGTCTCTTGTTCTGTGCAGAAGAGAACGAACAGCAGGTCCTGTTCAGAACTAGAAAATAGGTGATAATGAATTACAGGTAGGGTAAATATTGCTGGTGATAAATAAGGTTTTGTTATAGCTACCCTGCACTTACTAGGATTTCATTATGGACAATGAGGAATAGAATATTTGCTCACAGGAAACAGAATGATTAGAAAAGGTTCATTTCATTATCGCTACAAAGGTCTGTGCTGTCCCAACCGTGGGAAACTCTCCATTTGGATGTGAACGTCACCACACTCACCACTCAGACTGAGACTCTTATCATTATTAAGAACTCACAGAGATTACACTGTCATCGATTTTGTGGGATGTGAGGACACAAACATTACTTTGATCACGGAATAATTCGATTGGAACAATGCCTAAGCAGCACATTTATCTTGACTACCTGGTTTCTGCATTTGCTAGTGACGTTATGGACAGTTCTGGAAAACACCCCTAAAACACAGCAATTTCCAGGTAATCACTGCACAAGGCTTTCTTCAAGTCCTCGTACCACCATAATTATATCCTTGAAAATAGTTCTTCTAAAACTCACCACCAGGTTTTTCATTTTTATTATCTTTTGATTATTTTTAGGTCAAATCTGCCAATCAGGATCAAATTTACCAACTATGTAATGATACTAGGATATTTAGCATTTTTTCCTACTGCCAATTCTATATACTCAAGTCAAATTTTGACCTGTTTGACAAAGTTTTGTACAGTACAATGCAATTCTCTGCCCACTCCTCCCTCCCAACACTTAAGGCCATTCTAAGCCTAAAACTGTTTCTTCATGTTTTTCCAAGTGCCCAACACAGAGGTTTTGACCTTCTAATGCATACACAAAACAACTGAAATGGAATTGATTCTACACTATATATATGTGGAAAAGATATTTAATTGTAAAATAGAAAAAGTAGGCCAGAGTACAGTTTTAAGGGTAATTCTTCCGTGTACAGTATAGATAAACCAGACTTTTTGCTTAAGTTTATATAAACAATTCCATAAAAGCAGTGAACATGGAACAACAAAGCAAAGCACAAAGAATTTTATCTTACAAAAAACGAACCTGCACAGTAGTTCAAAATTTAATGTAACACAGCACTGAACAGTCTTAAGGCAGCTCAGTCTAAGCACAAGACTAGAAGCCAGGAACTCCTGAGATCCATTCCCAGGTGACCACAGGTTCATGTGGTGTTAAGCCAGTCATTTACCACTCCCTTGTGTTGCATTTATACCAGTTATAAAATTGAGACAATAACACTTACCTGCCTCAAGTAGTATAGGAAAGGGTTCTTTAAAAGATTTTACAATGCGCTGAAGATGTAACGTGCCATATAAATTTTAAGCATAATAGATCACTGCACAGACACACACAAACACAGTATCACAGTGAGGAACAATGATGCTGGGTAGGAAGAGCATCACTACAACATAAAAAAATTACTTGTCCAATTGCATAATTAAAATGCAAAAGTCTGTTCAGAAAAAAATGTATCACTGAAGTAATTTCAAGGCTATCGGGGAAGAGAGATCAATAGGAATATTCTAAAATAACTACTATTTGTGTTCCAGTGGAGACATTCTTTTCTATTCATTACTGAACTTTAAAATGTTTGTACAGGAAAACTGTAAGACACACAAAGTGAAGTTTCAATGCCTCCACTACCAAATTTTGCCTCTTAATATGTAAATTAAGATTCTTTTTTGTTCTTCTTAATTACAAATTACATTCTTCCAAGAAATATACCATCCACGATAAAACTGGCTGCTAGCTTACTTCAAATGACCTATAGGCTAAACATTTTTCTCATAATTTTTCTCATCTTTGCTGAAAAATACCTATGCAAGATGTATGTGTAGAAATTATAAAAACATGCAGCATATGTACAAACTGAAAAGTTTAAAAAATATTAGCTTCATATACATGTAAATCTACTTGGATATATCTGAAATTAAATATAAAAATTTCACCACCTAAAATAAAAAAAACCCAAAAATGGTTTTCAGAGAATCTGAGACAACTACTTAAAGCTGTACAAAGATTTCCACCTGGAAATGTCTTATTCAGAGAAGTTGTTTGAGTTGTTATCATGTAGAAATAACTGTTAATTAATTTTGTCACATAATCAATTTTCAAGCTTAAATCAACATCACCCTTAAAACTGTTCTGTTTTTCAGAAGTAGATTCATACTAAAATCAAAAATTTCACAAAAACATTGGCTTTTCATGTTTCTGGATCCCTTCAAAAAGATTTATCAACTTATTTTGAAACTGTAAAAAAACCAACTATTTACAGTATTTAATTTTAAATACTTTTCACAATTTCTAAATTCAGAGTTTTTATGTTACAAGAAATTAATCAGAGCTCACGGCTTAAGTCCAGTTATCAACTTGTAGCATCTTCTCTATCATGAAATCCCATGTCTGTACCTATATAGTGTACAGTTCAAGATTGTACTGCAGGTTTTTGAAAGTAACAGGCTTTGCAGTGTGTTCATTTTTTATTAAACAGCTTCTTTATTAGTCTGGAGGCGGTTCATTGCCTCTAACTTCTGCCGATAGGCCTCTGCTTCTTGTTCCTTCTTTAGAAGCTGCTGACGGTATTTTTGTGCTTCTCTGTTTGCCTCATCCAGCTGTTTCTGAAGAGTTTCTCTTTCCTATTAGAAACAGAACCAGCAATACTTTGTCAAATAAGTATCACATACAAGTTAAAAAGGCAAATACTTTTCCTTTACATGCAGCTCAAGTGTTAGGGTATCATGTAGGAACTGTTCAGTTCTTACTCAGGCAGACCTGTATGAATGCTGCTGTGCAAATCAGACATGAATTATAACACCAGACAACTCCCCACAACCAGGCTTCAGCTGTGGATACAGTAAACCTGAGTCTATTGAGCTGCAAAGGTCCCACTCAAGTCTTCATCAAAAAAGAGCTAAATAAAAAAAGTGGAAGCATGGTGATTAAATATTCACATAATATATTAATATTTCTCCACTGATTCAATTCCCTTTGTTACTTTTTAAAATTGGAATCCAATCTAACAGGATTGTCCCTTGCTGTTTTATTTCTAATCAGATAATATAATGAAAAACCTCTACCTAACAGCTCTTTGTGCTGGAGAGTGTCAGCTGCCCACTGACCAAAATACACATCTCACTGGTCTCTATAAACAGTGATTGATTCAATGCAATCCAGAGTTATAATTACATCCCCAAGGATATCACATCTTTATGAATTAACAGGCATTTAGCCAGATAAGGTTTTTCAATTCAAAAGCAGCAACTGAAAAAATCCTTACTGAAGTAATTGCAGAAGTTCTGTATACAAGTTTGTTGGGAATGGGTATAAAATGGTTTCCAAGCAAAATCATATGGGAAATGCCACTTCCTCTGAAGCTGCCTTAGGAACTAAGGAGAATGCATTTCCATCTCCAGTGATGTAGGTACTGTCATTTTGTCTGATGCTGCACTGAGCCCAATTGAAAAAGCAATTTGCTTGGGAAATAGTTTTGTTTTGATCTTCAACCAAATACAATTTCATTAAAGTGCATCATACTTTATGAGTAAGGCGGTATTAGATTTAAAATCATTCTTTCCACTGTAGTTGTTAAACAGGAGCAGGAAGGAAGGCTGTCAGAAAAGCAAGCCATCTCCCAGAAAAACAAAGCTTATCAAAAAACTGAGGCCCAGTGAAAATAAGTTGCCTTTTCAGCTTATTCCCATCCCAGCAGTTCAGTACCACATTCCCATTTAATACCTCAAACAGTTGTTAGAAGTTTTGCCCCCCCCACTCCCCTAACAGCATCCCTATTCTTCATCTCTGATGCACTCACATATTTTCATGGTCAGAAAAATACAAAATACTCTGCCTCCCTTCAACTCACTACTGTTCTCAGTACTTGTCACAGTCACATTTAGCAGTCACATGCTGTGCTGAATGTGCTGAAATACAATGACACAGGTGATCAGATCATTCCTAACAGCAGCACCTGTACAGCAAAAACAACAGGTGAAGGAGAGATGTTATTAATAGGTTATAAAGGCTGGCTAGAATACAGAACAGTAAGTGCAACTTCTTTTTCCATAGGGCTTTAAGAGCTGAAGGCAGCAAGCTGGGGTTTGCTTCGTTTGAAGCATACGCTAATCAAATGAGAGCTCATCTGCTTACTTTAGTTGAAAAGGAAGTTCAGCTTCCACCTCTGAAAATTTGCATTTTGCTTTTTAAGCAACTCTATGAGCAGTCAATCCATGTAGCA